AACTTCATTGAGTAAGAGACCCATGAGCACTGCCTAAGAATGATAGAATACAAGATTACGCATTCCTGCGGGTGATGACGTCAAGATAGCAACAAATAGGAAATAATAATTGGAGATGGAGGAGAGAAAGAGTGTTAACTGTCAAACCATGGAGGTCGCCATATTTACATACATATAAACATCTCTGCATACATACAAACAGTTTGCTAAAATTACATCACACGAACAACTGATTCTGTCAAATTGGCCAAGAACAAAGTAGCGGTAATGCTGATTGCGCCACCTCTGTCACCCTACATCGTGGCACTGCCTACCTGTCGCTTAAAATAAGAAGGCTCTCTTAACGGTATTTCATTCACGAGTTAATCTATGCTCACTCGCGTAGACCTTAGCTAACGAAAATGCCCTTAAACGCAGTTAACCTCTTAGATATCTGTGCGAATGGCTTCTAAGGTTTTAGAGTGCTCGCCTAAACATGTGTCCCTTTAATACTAAATTCTAAATTTCTTTTCGAAAATAAGTACCTTTTTTATACGAGTGTCACCTTTAGAGAACTAAAGTATCACCTTTAGGGACTAAAACAGGTTCTTGAAAGCCAACCAACGCCGTATATATCACTGTTGGTCGTACGATCATGGCGTATATCCATCTCAGTATGTTTGGGCGATTCCACCATGATTTTTAGTGCCTTCGTAGCTCTCGGTGTGGTGACGTCAGCATGGATCTTCGACAGAAGTTAGGCGTTCGGCGTTAGGCGAATATGCTTACTTCACCTCGGCGGAGTAATTGACTACGACCTCATCCAAAATTATATTCCTCATAACTTAGGAAGTACATGTTCTAGCAAACCGGACAATATCCTTCTAAACCGGTCCCAATAAAACCGGATATTAAGGTCCCACTAGCACTGTTTTATTGTTTGTAAATGTACCACGCTGTATCCAATTTTAGTTTGCCCACTTCTTATTTGAAGCAGCGTAGCTATATAAATATCAGTGATTGTACCTAAGCATATGAGGTATCCAGAATTTTACAACAACCCTGCAGTGAAAAGCCAAACCAGTTAGAAAAAATACTAGTTCATTAACTATTATGTGCCTACCAGTTCGACAATTTCGAAGAACTTAGGCGATCAGCGACATCTGCCTTTGAATTGCCAAAGCCAAAAATAAAACGCAATTAATTGCTTTTCTTACAAATGTCGGCTGTGGCGTCACGTGAAGACTACTGGTTCTGGTTCTGAAATCGCAGGTTCGAGGCCGCTTGGAGGTGGTTAAGATTTTTAAAGTTAAATAAATGTAAGTAAAAATAATTTATTCAATTTATAAATAAATAACAAATTTGAAAATCTAATTGCGTTGCAAAAAAACATTTAGGAAGAAATATAAAAACAAAGAAATTAAACAAAAATTTTTTTTTTTATTAAATTAAAAAATTACAATAAACAGCATAAACAAAAAAATAAATTTATAAAAAATAAAAATAAAATAAAAAATAGAAAATAAAAAAATTTTCCCTGCGCCAGGATTTGAACCTGGGACCTCAGGCTTACCACGCGAGTGCTCTGCTCTGTCGGCCATTGTGACTGCTGGAGCGCCTCGAGCAAAAAGGCACACTAATGCTTTTCACGGGGCATGAATTGGCAGACTATCTCATCAACTGGTATGATGCTACTAGTATTTATACTAGTAGATGCTGATGCATAGCCTGACAATTGACATCTCGTAGGACATCGCAATGTTAAAAATACCAGTCGCTAACATTGAAAAAGGATAGAACGTGAACTAGTTCGGCTGAAACGCAAACCGGTAGAATTCTAGTTCACAACTAGTAGCTTTCCCTGCAGGGAAATCACAATTATCTAATTGTGGCAATATAAAACGAAAAACTAGCAGACGCAATTTTTAATAAGCCAAATCTGTCAGTGTGGGGGTAGCGCCAACTTTAGGGTGGAGCCTCATGGAATTCAATTGACGCCACGAGCATCCGCTTCTAACCAACTACATAAATTGAATGCCTAGATTTACGATCGAAATTAAAACAAAATTCAGCGTATTAAATTTTTGTCCTAAAGGAAACCGCAATGTTGGTTACTAAATAATAGTTAGTATGACTATGAAAGAAAAGTCGGTGATTTACTCAGCACTACTAGATACACATATCTCCTGCAACATGAAACTACGATCGGTGACTCAGTCAATAGCTATGCATCTTGTCTGGGTTTCCAGCCACAGATACATAGAAGGCATCGAGAGAGCAAACGAATTGTTCAAGGCGGGAGGTCGTTTGGCCGAATAGGTAGCGTTGGTGCTCGGATAATCGCTCTGACAAATAAAACAGGAATTTACTTGCACTTTCTGAAACCAGCAACGAAGAGGTTGTCAGAGATGCAGACTAGCAAAATAGCACATGAGCTTTGGCCTGCCTATGGCTGTAAAGCAGCGCGGTTAAATAGGTCAAAGGTACATGTATCTAGGATTGTAGCGATTATCACCGCTCACCGACATCTCGGAAAACACGCTAGAATGCCGATAGTAACAGTACTTCATTCTTGTGCAATACCTAGGGCTCATTTCCTTATGGCACACAAATTTCAGGAAAACAAAGTGAAGCAGTTAGCGGATTTATCTAAGCAGTGCTGCAACATGTATGGTTTGCCAGCGATCTAGGTCTACAAAAAGGATAATGGTCAACTTTAAATGATGGAAATCTTTTGTGCTATGAAGTTTTAAGCAGGGTTTTGAACCGAACCATCGCTTTTTCGGGTTTCGAACCGAACCACGAACCGAACCGTTTTTATTTTGAAATGCCAAAACTGAACCGAAAACCACTCCAAAAAATGGTTCGGTTCGGTTTGGTTCGGTTTAAAAATTAAAATCCACTAAAGTATTTTTCAAGTTTAGTAATACTTGGTCTCAAAATGCATCCCGTATAGTAAAAATGCTAAAATTTTTTTGTTTGATGGCAACTCCGTGAGTTGTAATTTCACCCATATACGGGTAAAGCTTATTTTTTTTTTGTATAGAAGAAAATGCTTGTTAAATAAAGAATTTATAAAACTCGGATTTTTGCAGTTTGGATTAAAAAGTTTGAGTCTTTGATGCAATTTTGTTGAAATTTGTAGATTTTTTTCTCACTTTTGTACAAAGTTTGAAATTTGGATTTAGATGCTTATTATTATATAACGAGCTATACTTTTATAAAAAATTAATTAACATTAAACCCACAAAAGAAAAATAGTCAGATGCCGCACTAAGTGGCCAAGGCCAAGTGAAGCTCCAGCCTACCGAAAATGAGGTTCTCAACATAAAGCCAAGATTTTGAGGGTCAATTTAAAATTCTCAGTTTGCTGTTTTAATCTTCATACTCGACTAGGCTGACCACTTGTGCAAACCTTAAAAAGTTTGTTAAAAGTTATCTAATTTCATTTTGATCGCGTTGATTTTGAATCATTTTTTTGTTTTCTTCTGAAAAGAAAATTGTCCAAAATACATACTTTATATGGAAGAAAATCCGTGAAAAATTGCTAAAAATCAACTTAAAACTTAAAAATTAAACTTAAATTTGCAATTTAGATGAAACTGTGCAGAATATTCATAGTTTTTGCACAAAGTTTGAAAGTAGGGTTTATATGGTTAAAAAAATAAGCATTAAACAAAGAAAAGAAAAATAGCGAATACTTGATAAAATGTCGCGTCCACTCTACATGTGGATATTTAAATTTGATCTCAATAACAAAACCTTTAGTTTTAAAAATATGGATTTGGATGGATATTTTTGTAATATTTATATACCTTAGCATTAAGAAATTGAACCACTTCAACCGAACCGAACCGCGATTCAGGGATGCTCGTGAACCGGTTCTTGTACCGGTACAAGCTTTTCCTAAGTGGTTGGAAGCACTGAACCGAACCGCATAGATTTTTGGAGTGGTTTGCAGCCCTGATTTTAAGTATATCTAAGGCAGTCAAGCAAGGCCTATCGCAGTATTAGACTTTATCGAAAGGCACCATCTTCAAGAGTAAGATCCCCTAACTTGGTTAATTATAATACTATTTTGGCGTTTACGCTTTTGCTATGTGTTTATCCGAGCTGCTCCTCCAGTTTGTGGTGTACGTCTTGATGTTATAACAAATGGTGGACCTGCAAGCCTTTTTAGTGCAGCAATACCATTAGGAGGTTTCAAGTGGAGATGTAGCTCGAATCCTCTCTCTGAATATGATCCGTATCTCTCATTTGGAACAGTTCGTTTTGTCTTACTTAATTATTTTAGGTAGTGTATAAGCTCTTTTGTTTTATAGTCAGTAAGGATTTTATTCCATTTGATTAAATAAATAAATAAATAAAGCCCAGGTCCTACGAAGTAATAGTGCGCACCTCTAGCCATACAGCCACAACGGCCTTCATCAGTCCCTCTACATCCTGCAAAAAAAGGGAGAGATTGATTGGTATGGAATCCTTCGGAGCTACACAAGTCCTATTTTGTGCTTTGGAAATAAATGTCCTCTTAACAGCGTCCCGCAGTTTTATGTATGAACAGCGCTTTGCTCATGCCACTCACAAAGTTCTGAATCAGTGCTCGGCATAACGTCTCCGAAGACTTTTGCATTAGGGAAAGAATGATACCATCGGATCGTAGCTACTTGACATAGTTAACTCCCTGAGGTATATCTGTCGGCTGGTACCCTTACTGTGGTTGGATTTTGCGCGATATGTATGAAGCAAGGGGTATAAACAAGACTCTTAGCGAATCATTCATGCACATTCTCTAATTTTCTGTTATTTACTCTAAGGTAGGAGGATTTTTCTCAAGAATGTCTCTTATCTTGGATTTTTAAATTAGCAATTCGATCTTATTTAATTACTAGTCGAAGGCGTTTGTTTTATTATGTATGTACATAGTCCAACAGAATTCCATCGTAAACTTATTTTATAAAACACATCTCAAACCATTCTCAATACCTCAAACAGCTTAAAAATTAGAACTTTTCTATTTCCAGGGAAGAGCTTCACACTCACAATTACTGTTTCTACGAATCCGCCACATATTGCCACCTACAATAAAGCGATCAAAGTGACAGTTGATGGACCGCGTGAGCCACGTTCAAAGACCAGTAAGTATGCTGATATATTTCATCTTATAAAATCAATATACAGAAACAAAAATAAACTTTCACGCACGCATACATATGGTGTCACATGCCAAACCCAAATGCATATCAAAGAAACTACAGAGCAAGTCTCATATGTTCGAGTAACCCTTACGCCTTCATTTCTCCATGAAAGTGCTATGTATTTAATTTAGATGCCTGAACTCTAAAGGTATGCGACTGCAGTAATAACAACTATGTACATACAAGTGTAACAACTATGTAATGACAGCAACAATTTATTAGTTGCAAGATAGAAAACGTCTGCCCTTATTTAAAGTATCTACTCCTTGCCCATTTTCCTTGCAGCTGCATATGGTCGCTTCGTAGTTAATGCGGCCTGCCTTTGTCCTGCTCATGCAATAGCCATTTCTGCTTATGCTGAGCTTTGCTCCTTCTTCCTTTCGCTATTGTCAAATCAAACAATTCATCTTTAAGAATATTCATTAGCAAATCCCAACGCCAACGTATGCAAACACACACCTACCAATAAACTTTAGAAAATGCAATGCCTCAATAGTAATGGGGATACACATTCATTCTTTAATACATATACATACATATGTATGTACATATGTATACGAGTATTTATATGCGTAAAAGGGAAAGGTACGTCTGCTTTTGCCTAGTGAAATATGCCTTTTGTAACTATTCGTTTGTCTGCCAGCGGCTAGCGAAGCCTTACTAATGAAACTTTGAGTCCAAAACGCCTTTGCTATACCCAGCTTCTCGCTCCTTAGTCCTCTAGCCGTTCCATTCATTTATCTGTCCATTTACTAAATATTTATAAGCATGCAAATATTTTACTTTGCATATGTTAAACGTAGACAATTTTAGACGGATGAGTTCCTAAAGCAGCAAAGCGGGAAGTTTATTCATTTGAAACTGCAGCACACATATGTACTATGTATGTATGTATAAATGTTTTTAAAATGGGTTTGTTTTTGGGAAGACAGGCAGTACATAGTTTTAGCAAGGCACACAAACTAACTTCCTAACTCATTCAATGCTCTACCTCACTTTCGGCTAACAGTCAAGGACAAAAGGATTTTACGAATACCGGCAACCGGCTGCAGTCCACTGACTAGCGAATGTTGAATGAAATGAAAGTTGCAACAATTGAATCCACAAATGATTTATCTCTCGCCAGCAACTGCAGAGCAACTGAGTGGCATTAGTTTTGGTGTTGCTGCGCCTTTGTGTACATACGATCACTTATGTATGTGCCTGGTATGTATGTATGTATGTACATATGTTTAAAGTTTTGTAGCTAGTTGTAAAATTTTAGGTCCAAAGTTGGATGCAGCGGTTAAAACAATGCTGTGTCCTTTTCGACCAGACGAACGGTTATAATTTTATAATGAACATGGCTGTGGAAAGAGAAGTTTTCAGGCTGAGAGGCAGTGCGCTAAGTACTTAAAGTTGGAAGGAAATTAAGCGCAACTAAATTACAATGTGAAAATGTTAGCAAGGGGCATAGTAAAATATTAAATTCTTAGCAAATTCACAGCAGCGTTTTCAGTACTTTTTATAACAAGCTGCACAAAGCCTATGGTGACACATACAAATTCATTGAAAAACAAACACACAACCAATTAATCTAACATTGCTATTTCAACAACCAAACTTAGATAAGAACAGTTATTTTAAAACTTACAACAAAACAGTGTTGTCGCTTTTAGGACAACAGCAACAATTCCATTTCGCATTCGGACAACGACCGTTCCATTTCTCAGCCGATCCATTGTCGGGATTCCGTATGCCGCCGATTGGAAATTGTCAAAGTAAGTACACATGCAATATTGTATACTCATTTAAGTTTTGATAAAAAGTTTTTAGCATATAAAATAATTGTAATTTTTCGGTTATTTCACGGTAAATAAAATTGTTTTATACATATATGTACACCGCGGTACATAAGTACATAAGTATCGCCGCCGCCGTTGTTAAAACTGCCCTTTCTGAGATAGCTTATTAAGAATGCCATACTTCAGAACTTGATTGAAGAACGCCCTATTTCTGAGTTTTATTGAAAAGCACTCTATCTCAGAATTCGGTTCAAAACCGTCCTATCTCGAACTAAAATACATTGAAAATGTGCTAAGTTCTAAAATAGAGCGTTCTGAAATAGGGCGTTATTTAAAAATTTTCTGAGATAGGGCGTTTTCGAACTGGTTGCCGAGATAGGTGGATCTTCCACTCAGCATGCGATATGCTGTAAATATTTTTATTAGAAGAAAATAAAAGAAATTAGGATTAAGCATGGACGTCTACTACTACTAGCCTTCGCCTTTATCCCTAAAGTTGGTAGATACGTCTGAATACATCAGTCCTAAAAACTTCGGGCTCATTAGCACGATGTCCTTCATCCTAGGGAAATGGAAGCGCATTCACCACAACCTCGGTTAACTTTTTTTGTTTTTTTTTTTGTTTTTCAGACGAGCAAATCATGTGACACGTGGCATCACAAAGAAAAAATTCGTCTTGTACATTTTTTGTAGACGTTGAGTGTTCTTTTGGCAATACCCTCTTCGATTACGGTTGCCACTTATCTCTTTTTTTTGTGTACCAAAAACTGTACCAGAATGTAAAAATATGTACCAAGATATGTTTTAGCTTTAGATTTAATTATTCAAATATTTTATAAATATTGGTGATATACTTAATAAACCAATTTTTCTCGTGTCTTGTGATTTATTTTACAATGATAGAACATATCTTCCTTAGGAAAAATTCTCTGTAAAAACAGACAAATACTGTGTTTTTATTATAAACTTACTTGAGAACATAAACGCGACCTACTTCAAGAAATCCCGCAAAAAGAAAATTTGTTAGGTCGTTAGAGGATTGATATGTTCCAGAAAATTATTCTTCGAAAATTTTACTAAGGGTCTTCTCAGGCAAAAGCTTCATGCCACCAACGTAAAAGTCTCTAAAAAATTAAAATTAAAAATCGACAAAAAAAATGTTTCTTTTTGGCAGATAGATTTTATTGATTTAATTTTATACAGACTTTTACCTTGGTGACGTGAAGCATCAAGAACAAGAACACATCAATCCTCTAATGAACTTCCGAATCTGCTTTTTGAGAGGCTTCTTAAAGTGAGGGTCCAAACTACGCTTTAAGGCGGGAGCTAATGGGTTAAAATGTTCTACGAAATTATTCCCAACGCAATTTTACCACATAAGTCTTAGCCTTCAATTTCGCTAGGATATTTATTTTAACCATTTTTAAACTTTTTTGAAAACTACTTAGCCGGGATATGAAAACTTTAGAAGGTCATAGAATAAAAATACGAGCTAACTTATGCAAATCCATCGATATTACTCATAGGCCATGTACCCTAATGTACTTACATCCATTCGTGTCCGGACACGTTTTTATTTGCTCTCAAAACTTTTTTGTCGGTGAGGGTGCTGAAGTACGATTCACCGCTCAGTTCGGCATTGTTTTTGCTCTGAAGGAAACAGTTGACAGTGTCGTTTTTTCAGTAATACCAATGGACTTATTTTCGTTAAACTACTTAATAACAGTTATTTATTTTGTATTTTTTCAGTCGAAGCCTTACGCAATATTTATAAAGCATTCAGAATTTGAAATCTTGCACATCTTCCCTACAGAATAACTTCAAATACTCCACAATATTAACGTCCCAAGACATATTATTGCTAAATTTTGAAATGCAAAATCTTAAGTTAGCTCTACTGAAAAATATGAAATTTTGAGTTGTGTCATTATTGCAGAGGAAATCCATATACAAACAACTTAACATGAACGACCCATCCCGAAAGTTATCAAGTTTCTTATCACCAAAGTTTATAGTTATCAAAATAAATCGGATCGTCAATTTTTTTAAGTTATCCGAATGTATCGTGTTATTGAAATTTATCAATGTTTACTGAGTTATCGAAATTTATCGAGACGCTTAAGATAAGTTGTCGAAATGTACCGACAGTTATCGAGTCCTAAAAGTTTATCGGGTTATCGTAATTTATCAAGTTAATGAAATTTTATTTAATTTGACAATTATTTGATAATCAATACCTATATCGAGTTATAAAAATTTACAGAGTTATAGAGTTAACGAAATTTATCGAGTTATGATATATTGGTTTTAAATGATCGAATCATCGATAAATAGTGATTTATCGAAACTTTTTGGTAGTTATCGAAATTTGTCAGTTTATGAAATGGAAGGTTTTTGGAATTTTCAAAATTCATCGGGTTATCAAAATTTCTGGAATTGCATAAATTCGTCGAGTTGTCACTATATTGTCCATTTATCGATTTATCAAAGAAATTTGCCGATAGATATGAAGATTTATGGAGCTATCAAAATCGAGCTATCGATATATATCGAGATATGTAAACTTCTTATTTATCGAAGTTTATTCAGTTTGTGAAATGCGCAGCTATCTGAATTTATCGATAGCTATCGAAATTTGTAGAGTTATCGAGTTATCGATATTTAGTATTTTTGAAATTCATTGAGCTATCAATACGTATCGAATTGTTGGAATTTTTCGACTAACTGAAATGTATCCAGTTATCTAAATTCATAAAGTTTTTAATCTTCGTCGATTTTTCGAGAATTATAGTGATACATAGTACCCTATGGTTCCCGTGGCATCCTAATTGAAATTTGTTTTTTATCTAGGTCTGAATTCTCCCCATTCCATGATTTGACTTTGACGCGTAATATGAGAGCCCCTGTATTGAATTACTTATGCGCAACATGAACATAACGTAAACAACGATTGGTGAATGCTACTCGCATTCATTCATCCTATTTTGATATTATTTAGCCGTTTTCGTTCCAGCGTACACAGTTTCCAATCCTTGCCGCTTTTCGGATGACATATATTTTCTCACGGACAATTGTATGCTACAATTGTAGACTTCGTTCATTTGACAGATTGCAGTTCTACATTTCAGATACTTCAGACCAAGTTCATTTGTTTGACGGCCAAAGGGTTTTTATAAAAAATATTGGTTATAGAGAAATGTTTGCCCGGTTAAAATTAACGCTATTAAAATATTAAGAAAAAAAAAATTATAAAATTTTTTTTTCACTTTTTGGTTCCTAAGAATGAGATTTTCTTTTGAGTAATTTTGTGCCTTATAACCTTATCGACGTGCTAACATCCCCAGGGCTCTAAAAGAATTACAAAAACGGTACAATTTTTACAGTAACTGGCTCTCCTAGTACTTATAACTCTACTATGTATTAGAGGTTTACGCCGACAGGCTTTGCGGCGGCGGCGTGGTCAACTTCAAAAATAATCGGCGGCGGCGGCGACGCCGGCGCGTCTGGAAACGCCGGCGCTTCTGCCCATAAGGTAGATTCCAAAGAGCCATGAAGCTTCTAATCTTATCATGTCATCAGATTATAATTCTATTTAATTCATTCATTGACTGCTGCCGAACAGAAGAAAGTCTATATAGTACATACATTAGGTTTACCATCGAAAATGCTTTTTTTGAAAATTTAAAGAGCCAACCTCCTAATTTGATCGCGGCCTGTCGATTTAGGTCAGAAACTACGATCTCCTAGATTCATGA